GTAAGATGAGCCTAAATCAGATCCTAGGTCTATTTCGGTCAAGCCCATTTTCATGTTTACAATATTATATCGAGATAGGTACTGCTCGTTGTGCTTAGTTGAATTTACAAGAAGTATGAAATTATCTCTGCAGGCACTAGTGTATCATCACTAATGTGATGAGCACGTTGCTTAATCCCACACTGGAGAGAACATGTCAACGTCTTCATCGTTGTTTTCCATGAAACATGTCATAAAATGCTTTATTTATATCAATTTACACTACGACTAAATTTTTAACATTATTTTTCTGGTGCCACAACAATTGTGCCACATATACAGATCGGTAACTTTAATTTTAGGAGATACACCCAACACGGACGTACGTATAAGTGTACGTGTGTGTGTATATTCGGTGTCGTTAAGTGGGGGATAAACAAGCGTAGCGGTAATAATATTTCTTATCATTGAACGATGTCAGACGACTGACTGGACTGATTGCTCCCCGCTCCACTACTCTTGCGATTCCCCTGTATATAACATGGCTGTCTGTTGGATAACATAATGAGGCTAAATAGGAAACCTTGATGCTATTACAGCTAACAGCAAAAAACGCTCTGGTACAGAGTCGCTCTTACTTCTCGCAAAGGACGGTCTTTGAAAAAGATTTGAATTTTTCTTCGGCCACTTACTTTGGGCATTTTTCATCTAAGATAATGTGTGTTTCTTTTTGGCTATAGCAACACTTATTACTCCAATACGCCACCATGTAGTCTCGTAATCGTTTTTGGTTTCATCTACACCGGAGGGATCGATGAGTTCGAACATAGGGCCGTTTTTCAACAATTGTTTGGAGGTTAGATTCCGAACCCTGTTTTATATATATAACACTGTTTTATTGGAAACATGCGTAAAGCTGAGAAATGTACGTTCCCACCACTGCTCTTAAATGGATTGAACTGTGAAGACGACCGCTGACCATTGTTGCAGGGGTTTTCACGCAAGAAATTTTCGGTAGACAAAATATTTATATTTTATGGCATATTTTTTGAGATCTGCACTATTATTTCCAACCTTTTGGTAGTATTGTATGTGAAGTCATCGGGATGAACCAAAGCACGTTGTTTTCTCTTGCTTTAGGAAATCGGTTTAGTAGCTCTAACCTGATTTTGCCTTAAACATCTATCTTTTCAGAGTAGTTACAAGAAATGGTATCGAGGATTTCTAGAACTTTGACATCTAAAACTTTATAAAGTTAGGAATGTTCGCAAACTTTTTTCCTATACCCTGTGTTGACAGACAGGTAATATGAGCTCGTATAGCGTAAATCTCCTTGTACTATTCACAGGGAAACAGAAAAGAATACGATAATTCGGTAATCCAGTGTTCGGTAGATCAACTTTGTTCAGGTACAGATGCTAACAGCACTTGAGACCTCAGTCTACATTTGTGTCATCATAGCATAGGTGCATCATGGGTTTTATAATATGTATATTAGGAAATGCTTTTCTATTTTGGCGGTCTTCAATAGTGAATCTACTTCCATTGTAGTTTGAGTATTGTCTCCAACTGTATTCAAGTATATTGGCTATCGTGGGAGATAAGGCACTTGAATGAACAAAAAGATAGTTCCAAGTATTTCTGCGCTCTGTTAACCAGGAAGATGGTTTGTTTTCTGCCACTACCGAAACATAGAAACCCGTGGCGTTTGACCTTACAAGAAGACATGCTTTAGCTAACGCTATCATCAATGAAAAGAACGTGTATGCCTTTTAGTCTATCTGATTCCTAGATATTCGTTTTACTAGCTCTAATCGTTGTCCCTTTATTCTTACATCTATTTTTTCGTGTGAGTATACAAGGTCTTGCATCCAGATCTGAGTTAGGTATTCCAGTCTCGTCGGTCCTGTTTGAGTCTTGATTTATTTTATTATCGTATCTATATAACCTATAAATTGTAGTGTACTTATACTGTCGCCCAGTCTAACTGTTCCTGTTACTTTTGATCACTCTTCGTAGTTTTAAACTTGTCCCCAGTTTGCTTAGTGCATTTCATATATGTTGTCGAAGCTGCTGTTAGGTCCAGGAAAGCTAAGGTATATACAAGGTGATTTTTTTGAAAACAATCCGCCTGAGATATTTCAGAAACCAAATGAAAATTTCCGAAATCAGGTCCACTTGAATTGGTAGAGAACAAGAAAAGGAATGCTAATAAGATAGTAGATGAACTGGAGGAGATGGAAGTAATTGGGAATTTTACCCTGGAGCCAACCAGTTCTTTGCGTCAGGTTGCAGCATCCATCAGACTTTCTTACTCGTCGGTACGCAAAGTGACAAAGCTGCATAAATTTCGCCCTTACAAAACACAAATATTGCAAGAACTTAGTGAGGGCGATTACGAAGAAGTCTGCGAAACTATGACAGAAATGATCATTGCTAATCTAAATTTAGTAAAAAACATTTGCTTCAGTGATGAGTACACTTTTTACTTAAATGGACATGTGAACAAGCATAATGTACGATATTGAAGCGACGAAAATCCCCATATGACAAGAGAGGAACATACCCAGAGACTTCAAAAGATTAATGTTTGGGCAAGAATACTAGGTGATTCAATAGTTGGACCCATATTCATTAATGAAACGCTAAGTGGTGACGTCTACTTGAATATGTTGGAGAACTTCATCGATCTTCTAATAACTGAAGAAATGGAAAACCAGCTTGATGAAGAAGGTAATCAAATACTCGACGAACATCAATTGTTCTTCCAGTGGGATGGTGCTCCACCGCATTATGCTGCGAATGTTCGTAACAGACAACGAACAATCGAATGGCCTCCACGATCACCGGACCTCACAAGTCCTGACTTCTTCCTTTGGAATCATTTAAAGTCAATAATTTATAAGACTAAACCCATAGATTTAAATGACTTGTGTCAACGAATTATCAACGAGTGCCGAAACATTCCACGAGAAACTTTTCAAAAAGTAAGGCAAGAATTTGAAAACCGGATTTACTACTGCATGGGGGCAAATGTGCTCATTTTGAACAGTTCCTCTGAATATTCGTTTTTTAGTTCTGTTAAAATGTTATTTTCATCGCCTACATAGTTGTTTAAATTCTTATCCTAAGGTAAAATTGATCATTTCTCAATGCTAAATAAAAATGCCTGCTAGAATATTTCTTTCAGCCACCATTCTATTGCCAGTTCTCGTTTCTTTAGTTCCTCTTTATTTATTGGACCTGTTTTCCGAAGTTTCAATTTCCTTTTGGTTTCTGAAATATCTCAGGCGGATCGTTTTCAAAAAAATCAACCTGTATATGTGATCCTGTGTTTGTCAGTTGGGCCAGAACGCAGTTTGCTCGTTCTTAGATTTTTTTATTAAATCGATATCTTAGATCGTTTTCTAAGATTTTCCAATTCTTCTCCCAATCATGGGGTAATGTTGCAGTATTCCAAGCCTGCTAGAATATTTCTTTCAGCCACCATTCTAGTGCCAGTTCTCGTTTCTTTAGTTTCTCTTTATTTATTGGACCTGTTTTCCGAAGTTTCAATTTCCTTTTGGTTTTTGAAATATCTCAGGCGGATCGTTTTCAAAAAAATCAACCTGTATATGCGATCCTGTGTTTGTCAGTTGGGCCAGAACGCAGTTTGCTCGTTCTTTTTCATATACGTCCTATATCTGGGCTCTTAATCGTTTTTTAAGATTTTCCATAAAATTCTTCTCCCAATCATGGAGTAATGTTGCAGTATTCCAAGTCTGCTAGAATATTTCTTTCAGCCACCATTCTACTGCCAGTTCTCGTTTCTTTAGTTTCTCTTTATTTATTGGACCTGATTTCCGAAGTTTCAATTTCGTTTTGGTTTCTGAAATATCTCAGGCGGATCGTGTTCAAAAAATCAACCTGTATATGTGATCCTGTGTTTGTCAGATGGGCCAGAACGCAGTTTGCTGGTTCTTCTTCATATACCTCCTATATCTGGGCTCTTAATCGTTTTCTAAGATTTTCTATAAAATTCTTTTCCAAGCCTGCTAGAATATTTCTTTCAACCACCATTCTATTGCCAGTTCTCGTTTCTTTAGTTTCTCTTTCTGATGCTGTATTATTTTCGCCTGCTACTTTTCTATTTCGGGTTTCCTTCAAGTTGCTGTCAGCTATTAATAATCGGTGCTTCACGTCTTGAATTGTGTATTTCATGATTCTTGAGTATGTTATATAATCTAGTATACTTTTCTGTTTTCTCATCTGCTTCTTATATTATGAAAAGTTTTATGTTTGTCATCGAGATTCACTGCAACTATTATGACGTAATTTTCTTGACTTAAAGTATACTAAATAATTGTGTAAGATTTATTAATGGATTTAAGTAAGAGTAATAGAAGACGAAATTTCTTTGGAAAAAGATTTAGAATTTAATTGTTGTAAAGGCAACTTTTCCATTTATCGCATAAAAGAAAGAACAAATAGTAAACATAATCACTTAATAATTACGCACCAGCATTAAAATGGTAATTACAAAATACTTTCCGCTGGTGACACTTATGTTTTACATTTTTTGCTGTTCTGCGGGTATAATTGTCTCTCGCTGAGTTTAAAATTTAAATTTGTTAGAAAATTTCACATTTACTACACGAACCAATCTCGTATCCGTTATTCAACTCATAATAAAACATAAAATTACCGTACCGTGGAAATTTAATACACGAATTTTCCAAGAACTCTTTTCAAAACGATCAATTTTATCGCGTTTTATTCAAATTTAAGCCATCATTGAATCTTTTTATATATCTTTACGTAATTTTACCTCAGTTTGTATTTTTACCCCATTTCATGTCCTCATTATCTTAACTGACCTTTAACTTGACTTGAATAACCCAGTTTGCGTTCATGCGGTAGAATAAATCCATGAAACAAAAGGTCTTTTCATTGACGCAATTATAAATTTTATTGTGATGAAAAGGTCAAGAGTAATCACTTTACATGGCTCATTCTCTTAATTTGCAAATTTTCCATTTCAGAAATGGGAAAGGGAAAACGCTAATTTACCGCGAGATTTAAGAAGAAAAAAGCCTGTAAAACCTGACAAACCTTTAACGAGGGAAGAATATAATACTTATGCTTGGGAATCGGCTCAGGTAAGAATATGATTTTATTTATGTATTGATTAAGGGGTTAGTGTTCAATGTTAAGGGCATTGACATCGAATAGAACCGATAAATTATTAATCTATTAGGGAAGGCGAATCGATTTAAAAGTAATTTAGTAGTGGAAACGATTCCATGTGTCGTGTTTATCTACGTCATTTCTTTGTTGGTGAATTCTTTTTCGAAATTAATCGATGTCTACTAAAATCAATGCGTGCTCAAATACTCCAAGAAATATTCGTTGAAACTTCCACGATAATATGGTAGGAAAATGCAAAAATTTGTCATAAGTTTTACAGTGTCCTACTTTCCGAGCCCTTAATGTCCTGTAATTTGTTTTTGTGTCATAAAACCCACTTAATGACAACCGTAGTAGTCTAATAAAACAAAAAAAAAGTCTCTGGATATATTTAGCAAAACAAAGTAAATAATAAAACTCAAATTGCCGTTAAATTAATTAATAACCCAAATCGGTTGGTTTTAAACTTTGCAATTTAACGTAATCACCTTTTCATCACTTATTCAAACTTTTATTTTCCTGCAATACAACGTACACAGTCCTTGAACTTATAGTACATACCAGCTTATAGTATGTACATCAGATATCATACACGCAAGCTATCGATAAACGAGTGAAACAAAATGAAAGGGCACGTTGATGGTTAATTTAATTTAACGACCGTTTGTCTATTTATTCTTTTTTTTGCTTTTTATGAATCGAAACTACCGAATTTTATAAATTTTTTTTTAATAAAAATTTATCGAGAGGTGCTTATAATAGCACGGCTCAATTAGTGTAACACGAAGAGTTGGAAATTTTGCAATTAAAATTATATGCAAAATTGTTTTCTATATTTAGACTCGTTCTGAACTTGAACTCGCGGAACATAATTTTAGACCAATCCGAACTGACGTATGATAAAGTACGTTGAAATAAATGAATTTTTTTGATCGATTTTTAGATCTAATTTACGTAATGTAATTCCACTTTGTTATTGTAATTTATCATTTGGGGTGGATTTGAGCCAAGGGCGAAATTTGCAATATAACAAAAAATTACAATACAATTATGTGATTTCTTTTTAAGATCGAGACGTCAACCTTGGAAAGAAAATAAATGTTTTTTTATAAAATTAATCATTTTATATCGCGTACTTTTTATATTTTATATTTTATATGGTTACAATTATAATTAAATGTGTTCAAAAAATGGGGTTAAATTAGATTTAGACAATGTTTCGTTGGATGTTCTTGGAATTCTATCAAAATCTTTGAAAATTGTTACTAATATATGAATATCTAGAATCCATTAAATTGTTTGGAAATTCTCTGGAAATACTTTTAAATCCGTCCCAGAGCTTTTTCGGAATTTGTAAAATCCAAGACATTCTAGTCTTCTCAAGGACTAAGATAGTTTAAGAATCCATGATTTGCTTAGAAATCCCAAGAGAATGTTGATATTTGATGGAAATTCTTGAAAATGTTTCTTAATTCTTTAAAATTGTATTTGAAATTCCTTTGGAAACCGTGGATATACTTAGAAATACCAAAACAACCTAGGTATTCGATGGATATCCTTTAAAATGTTTCTTATTTTTTAATGATTGTTAGATATCTTGAAATTAAGAAGTCTTAATTTTTTGTAATTGTTTAAGATTTCTGGTTGTTTTTGAAAATTCGCGAATATCTTTAGAAATTCTCTAAATATGTCTGGAAATATTTAGAAAATCTCTTAAAATCCTAGCCATTGCTAAAAACTTTAAGAAAATATTTAAATAAATAGAAACAATTGTACTTAGTGATAATATTATTTATTCGATTTTTACCGGTTTCGGCTCACATTAAAGAGCCATCCTCAGAAGATATCACCTTAAATATTATAATAAAATTAACAAACAGCAGAGTGGGGGTTGTGGTTTTACTTACGTCAGTATGGAAAATAATTGAATGGTAATTGATAAAATCTATTATTATCAATTATACAGGGTCCTTCAGCTCAGCTCCCGTCTTCTGTAGCTCAGTTATTAATTAAGTTAGAACTTTAATATTTTGCAGGCTTAGACTGTATCTCAGTCCGCATTTCAGGAAATTATTATTGATTATACAGAGTGTCCCAAAAAAGTGTGACGCCATGATGATATATTTTTTTAAATGGCACGGTATATCTTTTCTCACATTTTTGGGTGTCTTTTATGGGTGNAAGAAAAAATAAGAAACGTCGCGCTGCCACGAATTTTTGCCGCGGCTAAACCACGCTTGGGTCAATAACTCTCTTATATGACGGGGAGAAAACTCCTAAACTATGTTCATCTTATGGGAAATTTTCTGCTCTTTTCATCGGTATATAACACATCTCCATCACACGCATCTGAAAAAAGCCCCTACCGATGAGAAAACGCATATATTTCTTGCACTAATAACTTTCCTATTTGACGAGGAAAAACTCTACCTACAACTATATTCAGCTTATGGGAAATCTCCTGCTCTTTCCAACGATGTGTGACATACCATGATCACACGTTTGCACAGTCCTTTTCTCTAACTATGAACTACCTAAACCACGAATTTTTGCCGCGGCTAAACCACGCTTAGGTCAATAACTCTCTTGTATGACGAGGAGAAAACTCTAGAACTATATTCATCTTATGGGAAATTTTCTGCTCTTTCCAACGGTGTGCGACACACTTCGCTTACGCGTTTGCATACGCGTTTTTTAAATTAATGAACTGAGTAAAAAACCATCAAAACACAATTCAACAATTCGAGTCTAAAATCGCTCAAATTCTTCCAGATTCTGATAAAATAGGTGTAACATGAAATAATCTTTCTGTTTTGAACAGTTTAACATGTTTCTAAACGTAAAACTAAAACTAGAACTAAAGCTAGAACTAAAACTAGAACTAAAACTAGAACTAAAACTAGAACTAAAACTAGAACTAACACTAGCACTATCACTAGAACTAACACTAGACCTAGAACTAGAAACTTTCGGGTTCCAACTAGTTTTCTGAAGTAGGTTGCGACATGGCACCCGAAACGTCAAACATTTGTTCAAAAAACGTACGGCTCAACCCGAAAGTTTCTAGTTCTAGATCTAGTGTTAGTTGTAGTGATAGTGGTAGTGTTAGTTTTAGTTTTATTATTGAAAAATTATCTGTCAACATGAAATGAAGTTAGGATTCTCTCTCGGGAAAAATTTTGTTCCAATTTTTCGTTCATCAAATAAGAAAGTTAGGGTAAGAAGTGATTGCGATCTGCTACCTGTAGGTTGTCTTTCAGGTGCGTTTCTTTTACAGACGCCGGCAGATATTGACGGCGTCTATAAATGAAAACTCGAAATAAGACAGGCCAAGGGTAGTTCTTTTCGAATATGTAAACCATTTGTTCAATTTCCTTCTGATAACGGCTGCACAAGGCCTTAAAGTGGGGCAATTTTGAGGTGATTTAAATGAAAAGACCAAACTTTCCAACCGCGTTATTAGTTTTTCGCTATTTTTCTAGATAACGAAAATATTGGACCAAAAAGTAGACGGAAATACAAGGAGAAAGTTTGTTGCTGGGCTGAAAAACGATTGTGCAAACGTGTAATTGAGATGTGTTATACACCGTTGAAAAGAGCAGAAAATTTCCCATAAGATGAATATAGTTCTAGAGTTTTTTCCCCGTCATATAAGAGAGTTATTGACCCAAGCAGGAGATTTCCCATAAGCTGAATATAGTTGTAGGTAGAGTTTTTCCCCGTCAAATAGGAAAGTTATTAGTGCAAGAAATATATGCGTGTTCTCATCGGTGGGGCTTTTTTCAGATGCGTGTGATGGAGATGTGTTATATACCGATGAAAAGAGCAGAAAATTTCCCATAAGATGAACATAGTTTAGGAGTTTTCTCCCCGTCATATAAGAGAGTTATTGACCCAAGCGTGGTTTAGCCGCGACAAAAATTCGTGGCAGCGCGACGTTACTTATTTTTTCTTGCACTCATTATCAACATATCGGGTTTAAGATAGAAAAACGACCAACCTTTCCAACCGTGTGCTTAGTTTTTCGCTAGCGTTATAAGTAACAAAGATATCCGTCCGAAAAGTAGATGGAAATACAAAGGTAAAGTTTGTTGCCAACTGTAGGCTCTTTTTCAGGAGCGTTTTTTTGACAGACGCCGACAGATATTGACGGACGATAACTCGGAATGAGATAGTCCAAGGTCAACTCTTTCCGAATATGTAAACCATTTACTGAATTTCCGTCTGGTAACGGCTGCACAAGGCCGTGAAATTTGGTAATTTTGAGGTAAATTGAATGCAGCGCGACGTTTCTTATTTTTTCTTGCTTTTATTATCAACATATCGGCGGACGAAAACTCGGTTTAAGGTAGAGAAAAGACCAAGCTTTCCAACCGTGTGCTTAGTTTTTCGCTATCTTTCTATATAACGAAGATATGGGCCTTAGAAGTAGGTGGAAATATAAAGGAAAAAGTTTGTTGCTGGGCGGTTTGTTGCTATCGTCTCGCCCGTTGATATTTGATAGAAATTCTTGAAATGTTTCTTAATTATTCTTTAAAATTGTTTCTGAAATTCGTGAATTTTCGCGAAAATGACATTATCACGCTCAGAAATCCTTGGAAAATGTTTGGTATTTCTAGTTGTGCTATGAAATCTTTAAAAGTTTTTTAGAAACTCTACAGATGATTGGATCTTATTATACATATAAAATTCTAGAAATCTTTATAAATTCCCTGAATATCCTTTGGAAACCTTGGATGAGTTTAGAAATTTCAAGATAACCGTGGTGTTTGGTGGAAATCCTTAAAATTAAGGTCTTAATTTCTTGAAATAGTTTAAAATTTCTGGTTGTTTTTGAAAAATATATATATATTTTGATAAATATATTCGCGAAATATATTTAGAAATTCTCTAAATCTGTTTGGAAATATTTAGAAAAACTCTTAAAATCCTGGATACCCTATTTATTATCCTAGACATTGTTAAAAACTCTAAGAAATTACCTCAATATCTTATAAAATATTTTTGTAAAACCTTCTAAATTCTCTGAAATTCATTTGGAAACCTTAGATATGCTTAGAAATTCCAAAATACCACAGGTATTCGAGCGATATCGTTTAAAATGTTTCTTAATTGCTAAAAATTGTTAGACGTTGTTGGAAATCCGTGAATATTCACGAAAATGACATTATGCTGTTCAGAAATCCTTGGAAAATGTTTGGCATTTCCAGTTGTGCTATGAAATCTTTAAAAGTTTTTTGGAAAATGTTTGGAAATGGTTAGATCTTATTATACATATAAAACTCTAGAAATCAATTGAAATTCAATTTCAAGATAATAGCAGTCTTTGGTGAAAATCCTTGAAATTAAGAAGTCTTAATTTCTTGAAATTGTTAAAAATTTCTGGTTGTTTTTGAAAATTTTGCGAATATCTTTAGAAATTCTCTAAATATATTTAGAAAAACTCTTAAAATCCTGGATATCTATAGAAACTAGAGTCACGTCGAACCAGTTTCTGAAGAAGGTTGCAACATGGCATCCGAAACGTGAAACCTTTTCTTAAAAGACGCACGGCAAAACCCGAAAATTTCTAGTATTAGTTCTAGTTTTAGTTCTAATTTTAATTCAACCTTATAAATTCTCTGAAATTCATTTGGAAACCTTAGATATGCTTAGAAATTCCAAACTAACCCATGTATTCGAGTGATATCCTTTAAAACCAAAAATTTTAAATGATCAGTTAAAACACTTTTTCTTGCAACATTCTATGCAGTTGTCATTTTGCTGTACTCACCAAGAAAGTCAGTGATGCATTGTATGCTTCTACTCCCATTATAGGAATATTGTTGGTTTTGGCAAAGGCATTTGATACTGTGGCTCATAATATACTGATTGCCAAATTGGATTTGTATGGGTGTGTA